AAAAACTAAGGATTCTCAAGTTAAACCTACTTTTCAGCATCAGATCCCCATCTTCATGGTAAGTGATGTCTGTGCTGCATTGTCTCCTTTTCCTAAGTCCTTGGCATTGTGAAGATACCTCTCCATGAGGCTGTCTGATGAACGGCATGGTGAGGAATTTCATACAGTATTATAGCCTTGACAGAAAGAAAGGTGAGATTTTAGAGTTTTATATGGTCAAATATTTTATAGCAGCTGAGAAACAGATATTTGGATATTCTTATGACTTTTAGTAAGAATAAATATTGTGAGAGCTAAAGCTTCATAGAACTAACTTGTCATGAATAATAGCACTTACCATCCATTCATCTCATACTCAATATTCTATTTTGTTTAGAGTGTATTTTGCTCTTCACAACACAACTTTACTTCTTTCTAAGACACTTTTCATGTATTACTTATTTTCTCCATCTAGGATTTTAATAAATGCTATGTCTTATTCCTCTATAAAAATAAATCAATAAAATAGGGAAAGAATGAAATATAAGTAGATCATAGCATAAGCCCAAAGCAATCTAGGTCATTAGTAGGGAAATGTTCTGATTACTGCCATTATAGCATGGATGTATTCATTTTTCTTTTCGGAATTATGAAGTAATTACAAATAAATGATGTTTTGATAAAAGAAAGTAAATATATTGTGGTTTTTAATTGCATAAACACACATTTTGGTTTATCAGTTTGCACAAATATCAGTAGTAATATACTTATTTCTAATAATCAGATGATCAAAGCCACTTTGAATTATAATGTTTGGTTGCACAGTTAATGATAATAGGCTTTCTGCATTTTTGACAGAATTGAGTAGATCATGTTTTCTGTGTCTATAGAAGACATTGAAAGGTACCCTGGATACATTTTGTGTCCTGCTTGGATATCACTTATGAACTTCATTATTTAAATTTAAAGTATATTATTTACATTAAGAATTTAATAAATATAAGAAATTTTATTTCTCAGTGTCTTCGTTCATTTCATGATATTATAACAGACTACCTGAAACCAGATAATTTCTAAAAAACAGAAATTTATTGGTTCATGGTTCTGGAAGCTGGGAAATCCAAGACTGAATGACCACATCTGGTGAGAGCCTTTTGCTGCATCATAACATGGTGGAAGGCATCACATGGTGAGAGACGGAGAGAGCGAGAAATCAAACTCACAGCCTCTAACCCTTTTATAATCCACATAATCCATTCATGAGGGTGGAGGCCTCATGACCTAAACATCTCCCATTAGGCCTCATCCTAATGGGATGCATTAGGATGCATCCCATTGCATTGCATTGAAGATTATGTTTCCAACACCTTAATTTTTGGGGACACGTTCAAGCCGTTGCACTTAGTATTTCTTATGTAACAGGGCAAAGTATCCTGCTGCTAAATTGCCACTATCATCATCTCCGCCAACATCATCAAATAAAAATCAAATGGTAAGTAATAGCACTTTGGCAAATTAAAGGAGTATATTTTTCCCAGTAGCAGAAAACAGTGAATTAAATTTATGAATAATGAATAAATTTGTGCTCTATTTATTAAAAATAATTAAAGTCAAACCAAAGATGTAACCTAGTTAGATGGATTGGAGTTGTGTCCAAGTCAGTTACTTATGTTAGATTTTAAAATTATTTTCTCTATCAAAATAAAAAGTAGTTCTTTATCCATTCTTATTTCAAATGATTTTGAAAAATTCAGCAACTTCCTTCTTAAAACTGAAGTTATATGAATTGCAACAAGTTAGAATAAATAATATGACTAGAGATAGACTTTCTAGATGTATTACTTAGTTCAGCATGCAAGATCCACATTTTTGGGGGGCCACTGGTCATAGTGACATACATACTCAGATGCAGTCCTATCTTCAGAACAGAACATGTTCCTGGGATCAAACCACCTTCAACCACACTTCTGCAATTGCCATCATTTTGGCTTCGTAACTTTTCAACTTGATGAATATGTTTTCAATATCTGCCTGTAATCTCAGGTTTGTTCAAGAATGACTCTTTGGTTATTGACTTCATGGCTGGATGTACCAGAACCCAGCAACCTATGAGGCGCCATGGGTTGAGACCTTTGCTAAGTAAGATATGCTCTGTGTTTGGCGGTGATTAGAGAATGAATTCTGATCTCTTTCTTGGAACATCTTGGTTTCTTGAGAGGGCAATAGAAACAGGAACTGAAAGTACAAGCACAAAAAATGGAGGAAGAAATTGACATGGAACAGGTTTATAAGTAGAGTGGAGTCACTAGGCTGACCAACAAGAGAGAGCTGACTTCTGAGGAAACAGTGCAATGCCCATCTGCAGCACTTTTTTGGGTTTATTCAAGTTGCTATTACGTCTTATATAGTTACAACCGATCTTCTATTTTTCCATAGGCTCAGAAAGCTTGCTGAGTTTTGTTACTTTCTGGCATACAAGTAATAAATTCCTTGGTGACCATGGCATGTCCTGTTCCTTGTAACATAAGGGATCCTATCATAATGTTTATGGAGTAAGAAAAGTGAAAGAAATAAATGCTCTGCTGTGATCACACACATTCTAACAGTAGGCTAACCTCACACCATACTATTAATGTTTAGCCTATACTGTTCTAACATTATGCAGTCAGCAGTGATCGCATGTTTTTGCCAAAATTGAATGAGCAGTATTGAATGCTACTGGTTGAAATATCAGGCTTCTTTATAATAGTTGATATTTAATTTTTTAAATATTAAAAAGTAACTGGGTAATCTGAAGAAAAGATTTTATTATATATTACACTAGAATAGTTATTATTGGAAATAAAATATATACTTTCAAATTATTTCTTGAAAATTTAAATAAACTTGAGGTATACAAATATGTCATTTTCTTCATGGGCTCTTGCTAACTGGAGATGAAATACTTTTGTAAACCTTCAACGTATTTGCAATTAAAATTTTATGTTATCACATGGATTAATGAACAGAAGCACAAGTAGGATGTGCAAATTGGTTTTGAAAGTCCCTATAAGGCTCTAGTTATTGTTTTCTGGACTGACATTCAAACCCATATAGGCAGTTAAGTAACAGAAATAGTGCAATAAAATCCGTATCTGAGACATTCATAAACATTAGGGCTCCTCTCAGTGACACAGTATAGTCAGTTACTATAACTCCTATTATTTAGCACACTGCCTTAGCTATATTCACGTTTAGTAAATGTAGGCCCCATTGCCTGCATTTTTAATCCTTTTCTCATCTTCCCTATACCGTAAGTTCCCATTCCTATTTTCATTTGTGCCTTTTTTATGAATGAAATGTAGAATATGACTGCCTAATGGTTTCAGGTCTCTAATGTCATGCCAGGGATTTGAGATAAATCCTATCTCTGTGTACAAAGAAGAAGACATTCAGAATAAAATAAAGAATTCTTCCAATTATTCATATGCATCTGGTCTTTTAGAGAAACATACTTAAAAAGGTCTTGAGCACTAGCAGAATTTAGATATGTTTTAAATAAAACATAACAATTACATTTTAATTTAATTTTTTAATAAATCCTGCTTAGATGATAAAGTACTCTATAGGTAAAAGTGGTTAATAGAGGTCATATGGAAATTTATATACATTTTCTACTTTACCACTCTGTGGATTTCAAACCAGTTAGAAAATCTGACTTTAATTCACAAACTTAGACCTGATCCTCACATGTTATATTGGGCAAAAGCAAAAGAAACAAATTTTTAGTACAAATATATTAAGGTTAGAAATAGTATGAAATTTTTTATATAAGTTCAAGAATTTCTTATAAACGTTGAGAACATGTTAAAATGAAGGGATGTGAAAAGACAGTTAATTATTATCATTATCACCAGATTTTTTTCAGCTCATCTTCTTTCTTTTAATTCCTGAACATATGGACTAGTATACTTAGATAGGTTAAGATCATGGAAATGTATGCATAACCAGAATCCTGACTGTTTCAGTATGTGTAGATTTCTTTTTATTGACCCAAGAAGTCGTCAAATATTTAATGAGTGAAAAATTTGTCTCACATATGAAGAATATTTACCAGGGGAAATTTGTATTTGCTCTAATAGTATTTTAAAATGTTGCTACTTTCCTTCCTTCCTTCCTCCCTTCCTTCCTTTTTCTCTCTCTCTCTCTCTTTCTTTCTCTCTCTCTCTCTCTCTTTTTCTCTTTCTCTCTTTCTCTCTTTCTGATGGTGTTTCTCTCTTGTTGCCCAGGCTGGAGTGCAATGGCACGATCTCAGCTCACTGCAACCTCTGCCTCCTGGGTTCAAGCGATTCTCCTGCCTCAGCCTCCCAAGTAGCTGGGATTACAGGCATCTGCCACCACGCCCAGCTAATTTTGTATTTTTAGTAGAGACAGGGTTTCTCCATGTTGGTCAGGCTGGTCTGGAACTGCTGACCTCAGGTGATCCACCTGCCTCAGCCTCCCAAAATGCTGGGATTACAGGCATGAGCCACTGCGCCTGGCCTACTTTCTTTCAAATATTTATAAAGCCTACAGTGCATTCTTGAGATATGTGTTCTCTGATACTCTTTTTGGATTCTGCTAAGTAGTTTATTAATGTTATTGTTATCATTTGTTGAAGAAAGAACACTTAACATGTGTTATGGTCTAAACATGTCCCCTCAAAATTCTTAGGTTGAAATCTTAATTCCCAAAGTGATAGTATTAGGAAGTGATAAGTCATGAGAGAGAAGACTCATAAATGAGATTAGCACCCTAATAAAAGAGGCCTGAGAAAGACCTTTCACCCCTTTCACCATGTGAGGACACAGTGAGACAGTGCTCTGGAGGGAGAAACTGACATGGAACAGGTTTATAAGTAGAGTGGAGTCACTAGGCTGACCAACAAGAGAGAGCTGGCTTCTGAGGGAACAGTGCAATGCCCATCTGCAGCACTTTTTTGGGTTTATTCAAGTTGCTATTGCATCTCACATGGTTACAACTGATCTTCTATTTTTCCGTAGGCTCAGGAAGCTTGCTGAGTTTTGCTACTTTCTGGCATACAATAATAAATTCCTTGGTGACCATTCCATGAAACAGGAGATTGGCCCTCTTCAGACATTGGATCTGCTGTTGCCTTGACCTTGGATTTACCAGATTCTGGTAATGTAAGAAATAAAATTTTGTTGTTTATAAGCCACCCAGATTATGATATTTCATTATAGCAGCCTGAACAAATTAAGACAACATGAGTTCTACCCTCCTAGAAAATTTTGAGTTCACAATATTATATTGCTAATTATAGACACAATGTTGTACAGCAGATCTCAGAACTTATTCATCTTGTGTAACTGAAAGTTTATACCTGTTGATATGGTTTGACTCTGTGTCCCTACCCCAAATATCATCTCAAACTGTAATTCCCATGTGTCGAAAAAGGGAGGATATTGGATCATGGAGGTTATTTCCCCCATGCTGTTCTTGTGATAGTGAGTTCTCACGAGATCTGATGGTTTTATAAGTGTTTGGCAGCTCCTCCTACACACATGCCCTCTCTCTCTTGCCTCTGTGTAAGACCTGTCTGCGTCCCCTTCCACTGTGACGATAAGTTTCCTGAGGCCTCCCCAGGCGTGCAGAACTGTGAGTCAATTAAACCTCTTTCCTTAATAAATTACCCAGTCTTGGGTAATTCTCTGTAGCAGTGTGAGAATGGACTAATACACCTGTTGAAGAGCAATTCCCCATTTCCCCTTCCCCTCATCCACTGACACTTCAATTTTACAACTACTGTTGCTATTATGCTCTCAGTTCCATGAGTTTGACCATTTTAGATACCTCATATAAGTGGCATCATGAGTATTTGCCTTTCTGTGACCCGCTAATTTTACCTAGCATAATTTTAACATAATGCTTTCTTGATTTGGGCATGATGCATGTCATGTGATGATTTTCTTCTTTTTTAAACGCTGATAAATATTCAACTGTCTGTATGTACCACGTTTTCTTTATTCTTTCATCCATCAATGTGCATTAGGTTGTTTTCAAATGTTAGCTGTTATGAACAATACTACAATGAACATGGGAGTGCAAATCTCTTTTCAGGGTCCTAATTTCAATTCTTTTGGATATATACTCAGAAGTAAAACTGCTGGATCACATGGATCAAATTTCTATTTTAAATAGGATCACAATTCAATTTTGTATTTTTAAAGAAACATTCATACTTTTTTCCATAGCTGCTGTACTGTTTTACATTCCCACTAGTAATGTACGGGGTTCCAATTTTTCTTCATCCTTGTCAACATTTGTTATCTTTTTTTAAAATAATAGCCATCTTAACAGGTGTGAGGTGGTATCTCATTGTAGTTTTGCATTTCCTTGATGATTCTTCTTTAGAGAAACGTTTTATTCAGGTTTGTGCCCATGTGTTTATTTGTTATTTGTGTTTTTGTTATTGAGTTGTAGAAGTTCCCTATACATTTTAAACATTAACCTTTTATCAGATACGTGGTTTGCAAATAGTTTCTCCCAGTATTTAGGTTGCCTTTTCATGCTGTTAATTATTTCTTTTGCTGTGCAGAGCTTTCTGGTTTCACCTAGTCACATTTGTCTAATTTTGCTTTTGTTGCTTGTGCTTTTTGTGTCATATTCAAAAAAATCATTGCCAAGACCAATGTCATGAAACTCGTTCCTTTCTTGTCCTAGGAGTTTTATAGTTTTGGATATTATTAAATGTTTCATCTATTTGGAGTTGATTTTTGTGTATTTTGTAAAATATGAATCCAATTTTATTCTTGTGCACATGGATGTCCAGTAATCCTAACACCATCTGTTAAAGAGATTATCCTTTCCCCATAGCATTTTTGAAATTCTTGGTGAAGCTCAGTTGGCTGTATGTTTGTTGATTTATTTCTCGACTCTCTTTTTTATTCCACTTGTGTATTTGTCCATTTCTCTGCCATACCATACTGCTTAATTTGTAGCTCTACAAATATTTTGAAATCAGGAAATGTGAAACCTCCAGCTTTGTTCTCCCTTCTCAAGATTGCTTTGGTTATTTGGAGTTTTTCTTGGTTCCATATGAATTTTTGGATAGAATTACCTATTTCTTTAAAAAACATCCATCAGAATTTTATTAGGGATTGTATTGAATATGTCGATTGCTTTTGGTAGTACGAACATTATAACAATATGAAATTTTACAATCCATGAACATAGATGTTCTTTAATTTATTTGTGTCTTCTTTCATTTCTTTCATCAATAATTCGCAGTTTTCATAATACAAGACTTTCACCTCCTTGGTTAAGTCTATTCCTAAACATTTTATTCTTTTGGATATTACTGTGAATGGGATTTTTTATACTTTCCTTTGAAATGATTCATTGTTAGTGAACAGAAATGCAACTTATTTTTTGTAGGCTGATTTTGCATTCTGCACCTTTACTGTATTTGTTTATTAGTTCCAACAGGATTTTTGTGTGTGTGTGTGAAGAATATTTACAGTTTTCTACATATAAGGTCATGTCATTTGTAAACAGACAATTTTACTACTTCTTTACCCATTTGGATGCCTTCTTCTCTTTTTCTTTACTAAGTGTTTTGACTAGGACTTTCAGTACTATATTAAATAGAAGTAGCAAGAATGGGCATCTGTGCTTTCTTTGTGACCTTAGAGAAGAAGCTTTCAGTTTTTCAGTTGAATATGATGTTAGCTTTGAACTTGTCACATATGACCTTTATTATGTTGTAGTACATTTTTTCTATACCTCGTTTGCTGAGAGTTTTTATTTTGAAGGACTGCTGAATTTTGTTGAATGCTTTTCCTGCCTTAATTCAGATGATTATTTCGTCTTCATTCTGTTAATGTGGTGGATCACATTAATTGATTTACAATGTTAAATCATCCTTAAATCCCTAGTATAAATTCCACTTGCTGATGGTGTTTCAGCCTTTAAATGTGCTATTGAATTTAGCTTGCTAGTATTTTATTGAGGGTTTTTGCATCCGTGTTTCTAAGGGGATACTGAACTGTAATGTTTTTTTTTTTCCTGTAACATTTTTTGTAGCTTTGGAATCAGGGTAATGATGACCTCATAAAATAAGTTTAGAAGTGTCCCTTTTCTCCAACAATTTGAAGTAGTTCAAGAAACATTGGTATTAATTCTTCTTTAAATATTTGGTGAAATTCACTTGTGAAGTCATCTGGTCCAGGGCTTTTCTTTGATAGCAGGATTACTGTTTGAATCCTGACAGACTATTTTTTTAAATGTATGTATTAATCTTTATTATTCCCATATTTCTGCTAACTTTAGGCTTAGTTTATTCTTCTTTTTACTTCCTTGAAGAGTGAAGTTAGGTCATTGATTTGGCATAATTTTTTTTCTTAAATATAGGCATTTATCATTATAAGCTTCATCTAATTTCATTTTTAATTTATTCTTTAACCTAATGATGGTTCAAGAGTGTATTGTTTAGTTTCATGTGTGTGTGAATTTTTCTATTTTCTTGTTGCTATTGATTTCTAGTTCCATTCCATTTGATTCAGAAAAGGTACTTGGAATGATTTTGATCTTTTAAAATTTGTTATGACTTGTTTTATCCTAACCTGCAATCTTTCTGGGATAATGTTTTATGTATACTTGAAAATAAAATGCATTCTGCTACTTTTGGGTGGAATGTTCCATGTATCTGTTAGGTCAATTTGGTCTATAGTGTTGTTCAAGCTCACTGTCTTCTTATTGATTTTCTGTCTGAATGGGCTATCCATTATGAAAGTTGGGTATTAAAATCTCCTACTAGTATTGTACTGCTGTGAATTTCTTTCTCAGTTTTGTCAAAGTTTGATTTAGATATCTAAGTGCTCTGATGTTAGCTGTATGTATATTTATAATAATTGGATCTTCCTTCCAATTTACCAAATTGACCCTTTTATCATTATATAATTACCTTCTTCATCCCTAGTGACAGTTTTTGACATAAAGTCTATTTTTTCTGATATTAGTATAGACACCCCTTTTCTATTTTGGTTACCATTTGCCTAGAGTATCTTTTTCCATTCCTTCACTTTCAGTTTATGTGTGTCCTTAAGTCTAAAGTATCTTATACATAGAATATAGCTGGATTTTGTTTTTAATTGCTTGGTAAATATTCCTCCATCCCTTTATTTTGAGCCTATATGTGTCTTTGCACATGAGGGTCTCCTGAATACAGCACACCAATGGGTCTTGACTCTTTATCCAATTTGCCAGGCTGCATTTTTTTTTTTTTTTAGACAGAGTCTTTCTCTGTCACCCAGGCTGGAGTGAAGTGGTGCAGTCTCAGCTCACTGCAAACTCTACCTCCCAGGTTCACGCCGTTCTCCTGCCTCAGCCTCCTGAGTAGCTGGGACTACAGGTGCGAGCCACCACACGTGGCTAATTTATTGTATTTTTAGTAGAGACGGAGTTTCACTGTGTTAGCCAGGATGGTCTCAATCTCCTGACCTCGTGATCCGCCCACCTCGGCCTCCCAAAGTGCTGGGATTACAGGCATGAGCCACCGTGCCCAGCCCAGTCTGTATCTTTTAATTGGGGCATTTAGCCCATTTCCATTTAAGGTTAATATTGTCATGTGTGAATTTGATCCTATCATTAGGATGCTAGCTGGTTATTTTGGTCATTAGTTGATGCAGTTTCTTTAGAGTGTCGACAGTCTTTAAAATTTGTTATGTATTTTCAGTGGATGGAACTGGTTTTTCTTTTCCATATTTAGTGCTTCCTTTAGGAGCTCTTGTAAGGCAGGCCTGGTGGAGTGAAAATTCCTCAGCATTTGCTTGTCTGTAAAGGATTTTATTTCTCCTTCGCTTATGAAGCTTAGTTTGGCTGGATATGAAATTCTGGGTTGAAAATTATTTTATTTAAGAATGTAGAATATTGGCTTCCACTCTTTTCTGGCCTGTAGGGTTTCTGCAGAGAGATTAGCTGTTAGTTGGATGGGCTTCCCTTTGTGGGTAACCTGACCTTTCTCTCTGGCTGCCCTTAACATTTTTTCCTTCATTTCAAACTTGGTGAATCTGATGATTATGTGCTTGGGGTTGCTCTACTCAAGGAGTATCTTTGTGGTGTTCTCTGGAGTTCCTGAATTTGAATGTTGTCCTGTCTTGCTAGGTTGGGGAAATTCTCCT